GCCTTCGAAGAACTCCCCGAAACACCCTCTTGACGAGGCGGCTTCTTGGCTGTCCCTCTGTCCTGACGATCCTCCTGCTCGGTGAGACCCATTTTTTTTCCCCCACGACTACGATCCGACTCAACACCCTTCCCCTTCGCTGCATCGACTGCCCTCTCTGCAGCAATCTTGGCCATCCCCAGCGGCATCAGACGACCCGGAACCATCCTAGGCAAAAAAATCGAGTACGTCGAAATCTCCTCCATCATCTTGTCCATGCTCCCCACCTTCCGAGTCGAGAAGTCAACTAAAAAACAATGAAAAGTATTAGCGACCCCCCCCCCCCCCCCCCCCCCCCCCCCCCCCCCCCCCCCCCCCCCCCCCAAAAAAAAGAGGAAGGAATAGACTACCCACAACAAATTCCGCAAGCCAAGTCTCTCTGCGCCCGAGCCTTGATAATTGATGACCAACTTTTCGCTCTCAACTGTTTAAACGCTTCAAGATCGTCTTTCACACTCGCACGCCCTCGCTTATCAATCGGATGAGGAACTGCAAAAACAAAAACAACAAAGGGATCAGAGGAGACCCGATAAACCAAACGCCGGAAAGTACCCAAGACTACCATAATGCGCTTTCCACTGAATAAAAACGTCTACCTCCCTGCGACGGATCGAAATCACATCATCCATCACTCGGGCGTAGAAGTAACGGCTCATCCAGCTGTAATCTTTTTTCCATGAAGTTCGAACTATCTTCCTATTTGGCTTCATCGAAACAGTGATCGTTCCCCGAAATAACCGATATTGCCTCAAAAAGGCGAAGACTCATACCGATACCATTGCTCTCCCCCCACGATTATGGCCCCAACGATATTCCAAATCGTACCCGGACATAGCTGCGTAAACGCAATCTGTCTACCACTGCAGTAATCCACCAACAAATCAGGAAATGGAAGCCACAACTCGCATTTTTTAAACCAAAACTCGTAAAGACAGATGAAGCCGGGGGGAGCATTCCAAGGGCGCTCATGCGGCTCGGGAACCCGAAAATCAAGGCCGGAGACTCCACAACGTGACTGAATACCTTCCAAAGATTCAGGAATTGATAGGGATTTCAGGAAATCACAAAAACTTTCCTCCATGTCTTTCTTAAGAGCCAACTCCCGACTCGGTACTAGAATCCTCACAATCCTCGACACTCATTCTGCCATAATTTTCCGTGACGACTTCACCCGTTTCGCCATGATCCTCTGTGACGACTCCACCCGTTTCACCATGATCCTCTGTGACGACTCCACTCATCGCCATATTCTCATCATGACAACCATCGGATCACCCTCAACTCCCTCATTATCTACAAACTCCGTTCTGCTCGAGGAAACAGATCTTCTGCGACTCGAAGGGGAAGACCCAGCAACGCTAGAAGAGGTCGATCCTCTAGAATTAAGAGAAGAAGACGACCCTAGCAAAAACGCCGACAAACTGTCACCCTCCATCAAAAACCAAGCGTGCCACCCAAGGAGCCGGTGTCATCCGGGGAGCCGGCGTCACCCGAGGAGCCGGCGTCACCCGAACAGCCGGCGTCACCTGAGGAGCTGGCGTCGCGAGCAGGCCTCCCACGAGCGGATCTCCCGAGCGGCCTGCATCACCCGAGCAGTCGGCGTTGCCCAAGCAGCCGGCGTCGCCTGAGCAGCCGCCCTCGTCCGAGCCCCATCTACGCCGGGCTCTCTTTGACATCTCGACGCCGGATCCCCTGACCTCACCGAGCTGCCGATATCGCGAAGCTCCCTTAACGCCGTGACGATCCGACAGTCGAAGCCCCCGCTGTCTGCCGGCTCATCCAAAAAGAGAAGCCGAACAAAACAAGAAGAGAGAAGAGAAGAAAGGGAAGAGAGAGAAGAAATTACCTCTGTTGCTGCTATTGGGAGAATGACCAAAAGAAGTGAAGAAATGAAGATAAGACTATTTATAGGGAAAAGGAAGGGACTGAAGATGTCTCCATTTTTTTACCTAGGAATTGCCTCGGAAACCGTGCTGCCTCAAAAATTATGCCGACTGAAAAACTGACGTCTCGAGAACCACGCCAGGCCAATTAACCTCGAAGAATTCGTCATGTTTCGAACAAATTCTTATCTAACAGACTGGAGGGACTTACTGTTGGTACCGGGCCTAAAAGTCCATTGAATAGGCTCAGATCATTTACAAATAACGGGTCAATATAGAAGAAAGCTCATTAGCGAAGTCAACTCAGAGTCAACAGAAAGAGATGACGGCCCGACCCATTTACGAAGAATAACTCGGCCCATTTGTGGAGAAAATCCGTGAGCCCAATATTTGGTGCTACCATCAAGGTACTATAAATAGCACAGTACCTTGATGTGATAAGACATCTGATTTTCGGACTGAAAGAACGTTTTTCTCGATTCTTGTACTCGGCGAGTCCTCATTTCCCGAAGTCGACTTCTCCCCGAGAAAGAACAGACGTTCTTTCTCTTTTGACGGCTCCTTGACGACCCTAAAACTCGGAAAACGGGCCGTCTTATTTTTACTTAGAGTTTTTGACGACTTCGTCTTTGCTTTTCCCCTCTTTGTACTTGTCGTTTCGATCGAAGAAAATTCTCAAATTCGACTTCTTACTTGACTATTTTACTTAGTGCGGATTCTAATACTAACAGGTTTCTCTGAACTTTAAGCAATTACAACGAGAAAAAAAGATATTAAGAACAAAATTAACAGAGAAGCGTGCTAAGAAACAAGTTCTAGCCGTAACAAGATTACAATGATCGGAGAGTCAAATATTATCGTAAAACCAGAAACCTCTTGCGCTTCCCCAAGAGGCAAGAAGGCGCATGAGTTTTGACTACATGTCCCAAGGGAGTAAATATTTTGTCTTCAAGACAGATGCTTCCATCAAAGTGCATCGATTAATGATAAACCGTCCAAATACATCCATTCATTTTAGACTTTGTAACTACGTCTTGTTCTTTAAGTACACGGTATCTTCCTTTGTAGATTAATCAAATCTCCTCAGAAGATTTATTGTCTTCTCCATCACGTTTTGTATTGAGTTTTGAGATTAAGCATGTCTTGTGACAATGGGAAGAGTATGGAGACCATTGAACCAAGTGAGAACGGGACCGTACAGATCACACTACAAGATTTGGGTCCTATCACCCGCCTTACTGGATTCAACATCAGGAATGGGAACCTGAGTGAGGCGAAAAGCTTGGTGGTTAGAGCGAACATAAGCAGGACATGGCATTGGTCACCAATAGAAGGTCTTAAACCTGAGAGAGCTAGCGATCAGTAAGACGTATGATTTCATAAGGCAGGAGATTGCAAGGATGACCATCCATCCTGAAACTGGTGTCAAGTCTACCTTGAGGCGAAAGAAAGGTATTGTCATTGGAGTTGCCAGGGCTGTATCCACTGAACGGTATAGCATACTGGCCTGCCGCCTCTTTTCCGAAGAAAATGATACCGCGAAACTGGCGGTGGGCCATGACGGCGACGCCATTGTGATCAAAGACGACGTTGACTCAAACTGGAAAGAGGAACTTTCCAAACCTCTGAATTTATCTGAAATTGAGAAGAAGGTGACTCCCAAGCTTCGTCTCCTTTCACTTGGAACGATTCCCCTACAGGGCTACTCTCTCTTCACGTCCTCACACCATTATGATTACCAATACATGAAGGCATTCACCGCCGTGGAGAAACAAGTATGGGATAGTTTTGACCAATTCTCTTGGTGGTGGAAGGAGGATGTGAATGCCTTAAGGGATGCCTTGTGGCACAAGGCTGGACACCCAGTGAAGATATCTTATAAGAAAGGAATGGCTAGCAGTACCAATGTTAAGCAGGTTTTGGTTGAGGCTGGTGTTGCGAGCGTTGCTGCATGGCTCCCGTTCCTTGAGACGGAAGTTAGGAAGGCTAAAACCTACATAACCCTTTTGGAAACTGTGTTGCCTTCCTTAAAAAGCTGGGGAGGTGAGATTACGTGGGACACTCTTGATGAGAAGCTGGCCTATCTGGAGAATTTCCCAGTTGGGAGGCCAACCGAGATTGTGACCGTCAACAACGCGCCTAGTCACCTCAGGAGCTTGGACACTAGAAAGAAGGTGGTGGCATGGATCGAACAGTGCATCAGGAATGCCGGAAACGTAGCTATGTATTTCGGATTTTACATGGCCATGGCAGAAAGAAGTGCCCGGTTTGAAGGTCCGCACACCCTTAAGACGTCCTACTCTCTCTTGGCACTCAAGGAGGCTGAATTTGGCAACTACTACTTAGGGTTAGAGCTTTTCGCTGATTACGCCGCCTAAAAGTCAACCTCGGACACAGTAAGCCGGATTCGTTTGTGATGCAGACTCATATCCTTTTTCTATTTTGGGCCTTTTTTAGTGTTGGCTTTTTGTTTAAAGTCCCTTGCTTCAAGACTTAAAAGTTGTTATTGTTATCAGTTTGATTCCTCTCTGTGTTGGTTACCCCTAAGTATGGTTATGGATTCAGAATAAAATGATCCTCACTCTTAAATCTAAATTTATGGAACCACATAATATTAGTGAGTATGCAAGGCTTTACACTTATTAAACCATTGGAAAACAAAACGGTGATTTGTACAAGATACAAAAGTCAAGAATCAGTCTTTCAATCTTTCAAGACTTTTATTTTGGTACGCCCAATCTTTGAAGACTTGTTGTAACTTATAATGCCATTTATTATTTTTCGTAACATTAAAATAAATATAGTTCAATCATCTAAGATCTAGTTTAAGTTTATGTTACTTGATTACCTCTAGAATATGAAATTAGTATTGGTCAAGAAGGGTAAACAAACAAAACCGCATTCAACATAATCATCTTTCAAAATAAAACAGGAGTCTTACTTTGGTAATAAACCCAACATTTAGTGTAAGTGAACGCATTAAGAAATAAACACTCATCTTTTGGGGTTTTCTTTTTTATGTTTTACAACAACAGCAAAATAAAATAAAAAACTAGTGGTGTTGAGACAATCCATAACTTAGCTATCATAAGGTTTTGTATCGCCGACTTGTTCCTCAACCTTCTGCTGCTTCCGAGTGTAGAAGCTAATTATCTTCTTATCAAGTTTGTAGTATGCCTCCATTCTCTTTAGTGGTTTCAGGCTTAGATCAATGAAGTGTACCTACAATTTCCCAATCCAAATATCAGATAAATTAAAAAGAAAAAAGCTGAATCCTTTTCACATCAGACTAATACTGTGAATACAACATTTCAAGACTCGAACCAAATGATCTTAGCAGATATTTCTTTCACCATTAAAAAGAAAGACCAAGAAACAAGAATGTGTGTAAATGGATCATACCTTGTAATCAAACGTTTGATTGGTCGATTTTAGACAGAGAGCATCACAAGAAGGTCTTGAATCCCAAGAAGCATTCTTCAATCGAAAACTGATCATAAGACTACAGTCTTTAGCAGTTGCAGCTATCATATACTCCTTCACGATCTTTAAGCTTTCCTCTAAAGGTAAAGCATGTAGAGACGAGTACTCCTCCTTCAAAGGTCCACTTTCTTTACATATAGGACAAGGATGGTTAATTACATCGTAGTAACAATGAATCGCTCCTTCAATGTCTAATTTATCTAGCTTCTGAACTTCAAGAAGACTATCAAGAACTCCTGAGTCGTAGACAGCATCAGAAACTAGCTGTAGAAAGCATTCTGTCCTAAGACCATCGTTTGATCTAACGAAGCCTTTGAGTGAATCCTCAAGGGCGTACGCAGTTTCAGGGCTGGTTCTCCCGGTGCTTTCCCCGGAACCTCCTAATATGAGAGATCCATTCAAGAACACGCGGAAATTGTTCTGTGGGATTGAATATAAGGCTTTTATAGCTTCTGAAACTCTACTTTTGGATCCAGAGAACAGATCAAGAGGATCATATCCGCTTACTTCAGTTATCTGCCGAATAGTGACATACTAAAGCCTCAATCTATGTACCTCTTAATGAGTAAAAGGATAAAGGAAGTTCCATTAAGATGTTAAGCTACAAGTGGTTTGGTTATTACCTCGTTATACTCCAACTTCATGATTTGGTGCATTCTGAAACGGCTTACGCTTCTTTTGAGCATGTTTTCTTCACTTATGAACTGTGAGGTTGGAAGAAATCCGCATTTGGGCTACTTCATGGAATTAAGGACAGCGAGTTTAGGTCAAAGATGAGAAAGACAAACGTAAAAAACAAAGGATTTATCAAAAGAAGAGTACCTTTATTTCAACACTAAAGCAGTCACCACCATTAGAAATCCCTGGCATTGATGAAATATAATAGAGCAAACACCATATTGTTATGTCTAATTTACAACTCACGCATAGCCTTGCAATTATTATCCTAATTTTTCCAGGTATTCTCAGAATCAACGGATTACTTTTCTAATCTATTAGAGCTTCCGCTACATCAACTCTTTAAGATATTCGGTTTTCTTGATGACAATGGTTACCTTGACAGAAGAGTGAATGATCATTCAAGATAAGAGCAGAATCATGACTGGTATCAACATTTGCTGCATTAACACGCCATGGCGGACGCTGCTTAGTCACTTTCTTGTCAACAGATTCAAGAAACTCCTTAGACACAGAAACACGTACCTGTCAAGTCACAATACCCTGAACTAAGCCTCATAGGGACTAAAGGGAGTACAAGAACATATGAATGATATTTACTTACTCCTGCATGGACATGTTTAGGACCCAAGAGTGGGATGATCACATTCTTAACATAACTTTGTTCAAGAACCTCCTTGTTTGAAGATGAAATCAGCTCACTGTTCTCCTTCCACAGAAGCTGCTCATCGCTCGTTAAAACAGAAACAACGCCATTCACAATCTTGTTTGCTTTATCGTTCTTTCGAGCCTTCTGTATACGTATGACCTTCCCCACCTAATGGAAAGTTTAGACAGCTAGAATTAAAGATCAGTCCACAAAAATCTAAAAAAAATCAATAGTTAAACATGAATCACAATTATAATCAAAGTGTAACAAACCAAATCAATCCAGTCCAGAGCATATTACAATTGGAGTTAATGTAATTCTTTTGACACTAATCAAGACTTACTCATTTTTAGCACATTTTGCATAGTTCCTCTACAATAGAGTTCAACAAGAATACAATCATAATCAAAGTGTAACAAACCAAATCAATCTAGTACATAACATTTTACTATTGGAGATAATGTAATTCTTTTGACACTAATCAAGTTGAGAAACAAATCAAAAGTATTCTAATACAAGATTTACTCATTTCTAGCACATTTTGCATAGTTCCTATACAATAAAGTCTGTCCATTTATATATGTACAAAACTCATATAGCAGAAAAAGTCAGTGAAGGCGAGAATCTGAATTACTTGAATTAACAAGATCGAAGAAGTATGATAGAAAAAGAAGAAGAAGAAACTAACGAAAAGAGGAGATGATCCAGCGTAAGCAAGGACGAGATTGGCACCTCCTTCGCCTCTGTAAATCCAATCGGATGAATCTTTCTCTTCCAGAATCATCTCTTTTTTCGTCTTCCACACCTTTACAAATTCTTCGATTTCGAAACGAATCAGGACAAAACAGATAATCAAAAAAAAGGAAATTCGATCAATTCGAGGCAGGAAACTGAAACTTACGCAATGGTAATAAATCAGACGATGTTACAAGATCAGAGAACTGGATTGAGTTTATAGTTGAATGAAGAGAAAAGAAGAAAAAGAGATCGATCAAATCGAAGCTCCTTCTCTCTCTGTGTGTGTCGAGATTTAACGTTGTGGACTACATCAAAGTCTTGCGGCTTTTGATTTCTTCTTTTGTCTTTCTTCTCGTTTTCTGTATTCGGGTTTTTGCGGAAGAGTCAAGTCAGACCTTTGATAGAAAAAAAAAGCGTATCCTATTCTGTCTATAAGAACCACGTGGAGATGGAAAGCTCCACTTGTTTTCTATCTCTTATTTTATTTGTTTGCTGGGTTTGGTTTTGGTTCAAAATAACTTTACAAAAGAAACAAAATTGCGGAATGAATATAAAATATTATTGAAAAAAAGAGAATCAAGTTTCAATTTTTTTGTTGCTCATTGTTCTTCTTCAATTTTGAATAAAAAATAAATTTGTTCTATAATTGTTTTAGAAAAATGAATTTAGAAGAAGGAATAGAAAAAAACCATGTTTGAATATTGGAAAGAAGCTTTCCATCTCCACGTTTCAAAAAAGAAGCTTCTCCAATTGGTAGTATAATTTTTCAAGAATATAATATTTCTCTTTATTTTATTTCCTCCAAATGAGTAGCTAATCCAAGTTTTCAGATGGAAAATGGATATGATAACTTAAAAATTCAAAATATTTGAATTTGAATAATTAAAATTATCTGGATCTAAATATGTGGTTAAAAATAACTTGGGAATTTAAAGATATACAACAATGATAATATGAAAGAATATTCAAAACTCATTGGTTTAAAAATGTTAAATCTTAGACTATCTGTCCATAATTTTTTTTTTAACATCTGATTGAAGAACGAATTGAAAAACTAAACTGATAGAATTAAATTGAAATAAATCAGATTATTAAAGTGATTTCGAGCACTTCATAATTACTTGTTTTGTGTTCTGTGCGGATAGAATGTATGTGCTAAAAAAATCTGATTTCCTCTAATTCTTCTCAAATTTCTTCATAAATATTAAAAATGTTGGTTATTCCGTTGGTTGAAACATCATTTTTATCAATTGAGAATGTATATGGCAAAAGCCATCTTTCACCTGTGATTCAATTATATTATTTCTTTTAAATCCCCTACCTATTAATTAATAATGTAGTTTAATAAAAAATGCTGATTTGTTTTATTTGATTGGTTAAAATTCTTTCTCTATCCTAATTAAATATAACATGAAAATGATGATGTGTAATGATGATGTAATTGTGACATGATATTTACTAACACATGTGGTTTATGACATGGCAAAAAGATTTTTTGTGATATTTTCATTTATAAAAAAATTAATTAGATGACAAATTTAGTGTACTAATAACTAAATGAATGGTTCGTCAGATGCATTATGAATAGTCTGATATTATTATTCATCTATATGGGTAATAGCATATGAATTTTGGGCTGAACGTGATGATTTTAATACACATATATATATATATTATAATACTATAGATAATACTATATTATATATATTAAATTTACTATAGCTCTGTCGTGGATCACTGTAACTTTCCATATAGATACACATATATCTATATATATATATATTATAATACTATATTCATATGGAATACATGCACATATATTTTCATATATTTCAGTAGGCAAAATTATAATAACAAAATCATATTGATCAAATCGTTTACTTAATAATTCATACTTTTTGTAAAGGCGGTGCTCCATTTACGTGCACATATGTTTTCACATACTTTAGTTGACAAAATTATAATAATAAAATAAAATATTATTGTGATCTTCTGTAGAACATTCAAAATTTTAAAATATTAGTTTAGTTTAAAAATAGTAACATATATAAATATAAGATTTCGATTTAGTAATCCTCTATATTATTTTTCGTAACAAAAGTTAAATATCTTAAAAAATCAGCGTGCATCTAATGAAAAACCAAAATCATTATCCTCTACATTATTTAAAATATTTAATGTCCATTTAATAAAAACCAAAAAGATCCATATAAAATCACGTTCATCCCAAATAACTAATGAAAAAGTTAGATACTCGGATCTTTATATAAGAAAACATCACAACACAATGAGTATCAAACAAATCAAACCCTAACTCAAAGCGCGGACATGTCAATTCTACCAATCCATTTATCTAAATCGAATATGGCTAAAATGAAACTTGAAGGTTGTATAGACTCCAATCGTGAGTGTAATGAAGCAAGGTTTTATCGCTACACTGAATTTCCAAACAAATGGGTTTGGCATTAAAAAATTAAGAAGTGGCTCCCTCGCAACAGAAAAAAATAATGTTCCCTACGATATTAGCCTTCCAGAAGTTTCAGAAGAACATGGTGAACTTTTCTACCTTAAAATGTTGCTAAATGTTCAGAGAAGACCAATATGTTTCAAAAAATAATAGAACAGTAAACAGAGTTTTATATTCAATCTTCGCTGAAACATGTCTTGCAATAGGGTTAATTGAAGCATTTGATGCTTAAGTGGAGATGGTCTTGCAATTATTTGTAGAGTCTACTTGATAAAATTATAAGTAGAAAAATCGCACATATAAGTAGATTGAGACCAACAATGACGGAATCCTTGAAGAAATAATGCTTTAAATTGAGGAAGATTATAGGAAGACAAAGAAAATGAAAAACGTTTGTTCAAAAAAAATACAGAGAAGATAAAATTTGCAGCTTGATCCACATTCGAAAAAGGTAACCAGCTATCTACGGGTTTGATCCATTTGACCCTCTAACATAACTGGTCAAGTTTTACAAAGCCTGATCATGAAAAAATAAGTTTTGTGTTTTCCAAATTTAATTACTATTTTTCAAGTCTGTCTCAAAATATAAATGAACCTTTTGTTATAACAAAATATTTAGTTAAAATTAGATCATATTTTACTACTTAATTTAAAGTCTTATAATTCAAAAAAATAACCTTGAGTTTCATATACTACAAAAAATTAAAATATTTAAAACAGATTTAGATATTGTATTTAGATAATTATATTTTAAAAATTGTTTATGCCTGCACATACGTGCGGACCAATATCCTAGTATAGCATTAAAGAATTACTAGAATAAAATAAAATATATATTTTATGTAATTTTAAATATTGTTATAACAATGTTAATGTTGAAAGATAAAACTAATGAACTAAGATTTATAAAGAAAAACCCACGTAAAAACGAATTGGAAAGCTATATTGATGGATTTGAATTGAAATAAATTAGATTATTAAAAGTGATTTGGAGTACTCCCTAGTTATTTGTTTCTGTGTTGTGTGCATATAGAATGTATATGATAGAAAAAAACCTGATTCCCTCTGGTTCCTCTCAAATTTCTTCGTAAAAATAAAAAATATTAGTTATTATGTTGGTTGAGATATCATTTTTTATCAATTCAGAATATGTGTGGCAAAATCCATCTCTCATCTGTAATTCAATTATGCTACTTTTTATAAATATAACATTAAAAATTATTAGAATAAATAAAAATACATATTTATGTCATTTTAAATATTATTTTAATAATATTAATGTGGAAAGATAAAACTAATGAACCAAAATTTATAATGAATAACCCATATAAAAGCACTAACCTAGATTGTACTACACTGGACAGACCCTAGACTAAGGCAGATGAAGCGCCCAAACGCCAAAATTGATATAACGAACATCAACTACGGAGAAAAACCCATTAGTACAATGGTTTTGTTAGAAAATGTGATTATTCATCACTTATGTATATGTGTCATTCTATTAAGTTATGACTCATCATATTATGTGAATTATCATCACCTATATGTCATGTTTAGAATATCTTTTATTAATTATAAATAGGATGTAATCAAAGTTATAAGAACATAAGCTAATAAGAAGAAAACTCTTAAAAAGCTCTTGTCTAATTTTCCTTTCAATTTAAGCTAATGCTTCTACTTGCTTATCTTCTTAGTACACCAACCAATACCATAGTTTATTGTACAGAAAAGTATATTATTTCACAACACGTTATCAGCACGATTGTCTCTCAATTCGTTTATATTCTAAAAGGTAAGATTTATTTGTCTTTCTATTATTCAATAACCATGTCAAGTTTGGCAAAGCTCGAAATCGTCGTTATTAATCTATTAAAAAATATATATATTTGGCTTAAGCGGTATGTGCAAATTTGCATCAAAAAGAAAATAATCTCTTGAGCATTATTGATAAATCAAAAATGATATCGGATAAAAATATGGCAAAAGCCATAATCTTCTTATGCCACCACATCTATGATGGTTTGTAAAATGAATACATTATGAGAGTAAAAGATCTTTAAGATCTTTGGCAATGATTTAAAACAAAAATGAAAGGTCAAATTATTGGGAGAGAAGATTCACCAAACACTTGAAGTTGATAAAAATAATCTGTGTGGCTAAGCGAAATAATTATCTCATGATAATAAATCATCAAACTCGATAATTGGATCAGCTCCATTCGCAGAAGTAAATATCAAGTCACCCATTTAAAACGAATGAGATGGATGAGTTCATATTATAAAAAAAAAGGATAACTGTATGAATAAAAATGCTCATAAAACATATAGGGAAGTTCTAAAAGAACTATATAATAATGTTCATCTAGAAGATGAGTTTCATTTGTTTTATAGTTTAGTATTTAAATTACTATTTTTTATTATCGTAAATTATATGAAAGGTTCTGCATGCTGAAATATTTTTTTAAACTAAATTGTTTAAATTACTTAATCCATTTGGTAGATATGTGAGTTCTATAAGAACTACATAAAAATAATTGAAAGGTTCATATAAGCAAAAAACCTCCAAAAGAGCAAAACTTT